CCCCTACCCCTGCTACTCTGTCTCTCAAAGTGTTTGATTGTATTCAGGAAACTTCTTAGCTCTGCTTTAGTTCAGTTGTGCTGACTTCCCCTGTAGTGTGTGCTGTCCTTCCCTTCACCTAAGATAATTCTTATTTACTGTCTAGTTAGTGAATAACCCTCACCCTCCCTCCCCACTCTAGTAACCATCAAAGAATGTTTTCTTCTGTGTTTAAACCGTTCCTTGAGTTCTTATAATAGTGGTCTTATACAATATTTGTCTTTCTGTGACTGACTAAATTAACACAGCATAATGAGTTCCAGCTTCCTCCATGTTATAAAATGTTTCACGGCTTCATCTTTGTTCTTAAGGAGGTCTTTTCCAGCAGATTTGCCCAGTGCAGTACGTCATCGTTTCATTTCTTGACTGCTGCTTCTGTGGGCATTGATTGTGGATCCAAGTTAAATGAAATCCTTGACAACTTTAATGTTTTCTCTGTTTATCATGATGTTGCTTATTGGTCCAGTTGTGAGGATTTTTGTTTTCTTTATGTTGCGGTGTAATCCATACTGAAGGCTGCAGTCCTCTTCACTTTCAGCAAGCAAGTTGTGTCATCTGCATATCACAGATTGTTAATGAGTCTTCCTCCAGTCCTGATGCCCCATTCTTCATGTAGTCCAACGTCTCAGCATTTCTGGAAATTTTATTCACATGGGGCATCTTTAGTAGATGTCTTCTGTTTTATATGTAGTGCTAAACCAGTACTTCTTAACTTTCCCTTAATTCACAGCCTCCTTTGAGAATCTTTTGACTGCCGAAGGGCACTCCTCCCAGAAAAATGCACTCAGAGGCAACATTTTGAGTAGACTTTCAGGGACTTCACTGACCCATGAACCACCTAGAGGTCCGTGCATGGATACCAGATTAAGAACGCAGCTCTATACCCTTCCTGAAAGGAATGCCGCTAGGCACAACCAGACAGATGGTTGCTTATGTGACCCAGGATTAGTCTTCAGCTATATTTGACAGATAGCCATTTTAAGAATGTGTGTGTGTGTGTAGTTTATACCTCAAGGCCAAATTTCTATGAACTGTTTATATCATGAGGTTAAACAATGAGAACTGGTTCTCTAGGGCTGTCTGTTGTGGAGGAGCTCTTCTGGGGAACAGTCTTGGGAGCCACCTGAAACAGCTTTTTGAGTTGGCCTCATTTGATCCTTGCCTACCACAAGTCAGTTCATGTTATGGTAACTTCTGTTTCATTGACACCATCCCATCATAGGCTGGTCTGATAATCTTGCAGCGAAAGACATGATGAGTCTCAGTGAGTCTCTAATACTATTTGCTACTCCAGAAGTTGAGGTTATAAACTGAATTGCAGTAAAAAGGCTATATTGAATAATGATAAAGTTACGTTGACCTTTGGTGCTCTGAATCTTCTGTAGATAATTCCTTTTCTTTGGTTTGACACTGTTTATTGCAAGTATCTCTGCACCTCAGATTATTCACTGTGGTCATCTAGGACTCCTTGACTGTTTGGAATGAAAGCTGTTTATTTCTTTTTGTATGAGGAAAAGGAAACTGTTTTGCTTCTTTAATTTAGAATTGATCTATTAGTCATGCAGTGACTAAAAGTACTTCACAATTTTGAGGAGTCCCCACTGGATTTCTTTTAGGAAAAACCAAATATGGTGGGTGTGGTGAGACATAGAAACCGCTTCTATCCCTTGGA